AGAAACGTTAGGTTCTGACCCTACTCTTGGATGTTTGTCATGACACAAAAGATCTCTTGCTACTTGTATTTAATCGCGACTGTGATACACAAAGATATATACTCACTAACATGTGCTAGAAACACTTACTGTGACTGTGCAAAGTTATGATTAATATGTGTTCAACTTTCTCACAACATATTGTGAGGAAAACCCCATTTTTTAGCAGAATATTGCAGGGGGTGAGTAGAAAGAGATGCAGTGTAACCAATTTCATTCATGTGGAGCCACTTCAGAATGACAATATTGCTCAAGCAACAATAATGCATGTGATTTGACAATAAACTGAAGGATGATTTTAATTTTGTCTGGTCATGAACGTCACTTTCCAATGTTGATCATAAGGTGAGAAAAGCCTGAAGCGGGGAGATGTTAACATTTGAATACTGTGTTTAGATGGAGAAATGGTTCAGTGCAGTGTGTTTAGATGGAGAAATGGTTCAGTGCAGTGTGTTTAGATGGAGAAATGGTTCAGTGCAGTGTTTAGATGGAGAAAGGGCTCAGTGCAGTGTTTAGATGGAGAAAGGGTTCAGTGCAGTGTGTTTAGATGAAGAAATGGTTCAGTGCAGTGTGTTTAGATGGATAAATGGTTCAGTGCAGTGTGTTTAGATGGAGAAAGGGTTCAGTGCAGTGTGTTTAGATGGAGAAATAATTCAGTGCAGTGTGTTTAGATGGAGAAAGGGCTCAGTGCAGTGTGTTTAGATGGAGAAAGGGCTCAGTCCAGTGTGTTTAGATGGAGAAAGGGCTCAGTGCAGTGTGTTTAGATAGAGAAAGGGTTCAGTGCAGTGTGTTTAGATGGAGAAAGGGCTCAGTCCAGTGTGTTTAGATGGAGAAAGAATTCAGTGCAGTGTGTTTAGATGGAGAAAGGGTTCAGTGCAGTGTGTTTAGATGGAGAAAGGGTTCAGTCCAGTGTGTTTAGATGGAGAAAGGGCTCAGTGCAGTGTGTTTAGATGGAGAAAGGGTTCAGTGCAGTGTGTTTAGATGGAGAAAGGGTTCAGTGCAGTGTGTTTAGATGGAGAAAGAATTCAGTGCAGTGTTTAGATGGAGAAAGGGTTCAGTGCAGTGTGTTTAGATGGAGAAAGGTTCAGTGCAGTGTGTTTAGATGGAGAAAGGGTTCAGTCCAGTGTGTTTAGATGGAGAAAGGGCTCAGTCCAGTGTGTTTAGATGGAGAAAGGGTTCAGTGTAGTGTGTTTAGATGGAGAAAGGGTTCAGTGCAGTGTGTTTAGATGGAGAAAGAATTCAGTACAGTGTTTAGATGGAAAAAGGGTTCAGTGCAGTGTGTTTAGATGGAGAAAGGGTTCAGTGCAGTGTGTTTAGATGGAAAAAGGGTTCAGTGCAGTGTGTTTAGATGGAGAAAGGGTTCAGTGCAGTGTGTTTAGATAGAGAAAGGGTTCAGTCCAGTGTGTTTAGATAGAGAAAGGGCTCAGTCCAGTGTGTTTAGATGGAGAAAGGGCTCAGTGCAGTGTGTTTAGATGGAGAAAGGGCTCAGTGCAGTGTGTTTAGATGGAGAAAGGGCTCAATGCAGTGTGTTTAGATGGAGAAAGGGTTCAGTGCAGTGTGTTTAGATGGAGAAAGGGCTCAGTGCAGTGTGTTTAGATGGAGAAAGGGCTCAGTCCAGTGTGTTTAGATGGAGAAAGGGTTCAGTGCAGTGTGTTTAGATGGAGAAAGGGTTCAGTGCAGTGTATTTAGATGGAGAAAGGGTTCAGTGCAGTGTGTTTAGATGGAGAAAGGGTTCAGTGCAGTGTGTTTAGATAGAGAAAGGGTTCAGTGCAGTGTATTTAGATGGAGAAAGGGTTCAGTCCAGTGTGTTTAGATGGAGAAAGAATTCAGTGCAGTGTGTTTAGATGGAGAAAGGGCTCAGTCCAGTGTGTTTAGATGGAGAAAGAATTCAGTGCAGTGTGTTTAGATGGAGAAAGGGTTCAGTGCAGTGTGTTTAGATGGAGAAAGGGCTCAGTCCAGTGTTTAGATGGAGAAAGGGCTCAGTCCAGTGTGTTTAGATGGAGAAAGGGTTCAGTGCAGTGTGTTTAGATGGAGAAAGGGCTCAGTCCAGTGTGTTTAGATGGAGAAATGGTTCAGTGCAGTGTGTTTAGATGGAGAAAGGGTTCAGTGCAGTGTGTTTAGATGGAGAAAGGGTTCAGTGCAGTGTGTTTAGATAGAGAAAGGGTTCAGTCCAGTGTGTTTAGATGGAGAAAGGGTTCAGTGCAGTGTATTTAGATGGAGAAAGGGTTCAGTGCAGTGTGTTTAGATGGAGAAAGGGCTCAGTCCAGTGTGTTTAGATGGAGAAAGAATTCAGTGCAGTGTGTTTAGATGGAGAAAGGGCTCAATGCAGTGTGTTTAGATGGAGAAAGGGTTCAGTGCAGTGTGTTTAGATGGAGAAAGGGCTCAGTCCAGTGTGTTTAGATGGAGAAAGAATTCAGTGCAGTGTGTTTAGATGGAGAAAGGGTTCAGTGCAGTGTGTTTAGATGGAGAAAGGGTTCAGTGCAGTGTGTTTAGATGGAGAAAGGGTTCAGTGCAGTGTGTTTAGATGGAGAAAGGGTTCAGTGCAGTGTGTTTAGATGGAGAAAGGGCTCAGTCCAGTGTTTAGATGGAGAAAGGGCTCAGTCCAGTGTGTTTAGATGGAGAAAGGGCTCAGTCCAGTGTGTTTAGATGGAGAAAGGGTTCAGTGCAGTGTGTTTAGATGGAGAAAGGGTTCAGTCCAGTGTATTTAGATGGAGAAAGGGTTCAGTGCAGTGTGTTTAGATGGAGAAAGGGCTCAGTCCAGTGTGTTTAGATGGAGAAAGAATTCAGTGCAGTGTGTTTAGATGGAGAAAGGGTTCAGTGCAGTGTTTAGACGGAGAAAGGGTTCAGTCCAGTGTGTTTAGATGGAGAAAGGGTTCAGTGCAGTGTTTAGACGGAGAAAGGGCTCAGTCCAGTGTGTTTAGATGGAGAAAGGGTTCAGTGCAGTGTGTTTAGATGGAGAAAGGGCTCAGTCCAGTGTTTAGATGGAGAAAGGGCTCAGTCCAGTGTGTTTAGATAGAGAAAGGGTTCAGTGCAGTGTGTTTAGATGGAGAAAGGGCTCAGTCCAGTGTGTTTAGATGGAGAAAGGGTTCAGTGCAGTGTGTTTAGATGGAGAAAGGGTTCAGTGCAGTGTGTTTAGATAGAGAAAGGGTTCAGTGCAGTGTATTTAGATGGAGAAAGGGTTCAGTGCAGTGTGTTTAGATGGAGAAAGGGCTCAGTCCAGTGTGTTTAGATGGAGAAAGAATTCAGTGCAGTGTGTTTAGATGGAGAAAGGGTTCAGTGCAGTGTTTAGACGGAGAAAGGGTTCAGTCCAGTGTGTTTAGATGGAGAAAGGGTTCAGTGCAGTGTGTTTAGATGGAAACAGGGTTCAGTGCAGTGTGTTTAGATGGAGAAAGGGCTCAGTGCAGTGTGTTTAGATGGAGAAAGGTGTCCACTGGACGCTGTCAGGATCTGAGATGACACCACAGAGAGCTGTAATTAGTTATTCAATTACGCTGTGATTATGTGTGTGCATTGACGGGGAGGAGGCCGGCTCATTCTCTGCACCTCCTTTCAGCTTTTTGTTCTTAAGTGCTGCGCTCTCATTAAAATGCCTTTTTAACCAGCATGGCACCTGCTTTAAACTCAGAAGCGTGCGCTCGTTACGCTAATGGCAGTGTGTCTCAGCGGCGTCCCACTCTCTCCAAAGCCAACACCAACGCCACACAAATTAGCTACATTTCACAAACAATTTCGCCGACTCGTTACGCAGTTAGATGTTTATTGGAAGATCACTGACTTCCCCCGAGCGATACTTGTGCCAGATTGAGGTGGCGAAGCGGTGGCCCACATAATAGACCTCGATTATAATTGGAGCCCTGTGTCCATTTATGCCTTTATTTATGGAATCTTTGCATTGAAGTACATGCGGTGGCCTTTGTGTTGTTGCCTTCAGTGTTTGGACGCCTCCCTCTGGGGTTACGAGTGTGTGTATTAAACCCGAACCCTTCGCCACTGGTGCTGTTATCTGCTCGTCTTCTCAACTCTTTTCAGACCCCAAGACATCCAATGTGCCCATGAACTACTTGTTTTCCTTCCTTCTCATCCAAAGAACAGTAGAAGAGCACGAATGTATGCCATCCGGTGTGATGTTACAGTAGTTGTGATAAACCTGGGTTTAAACTCAATGCTGGCTCATCAGCGCTACGTTTATGCTTGTGTATAATTCCCAGATTATTGTAAATCTACAGTTTTTTTAACTGTATCGAGGCTATCTGAAGTCGTAATTAATATGTTGCTTCAAACATAAGAAAATATTATGTTCTTTTGTAAATATGGCTCTGTACTCTAGATAAAAGTGGAAGATGTGGCGGAAATGAAGAACAAAACCTTGCAAACGGCACAATCCAATCCACTGCATCTTCCAGTGAGGATCAGACTGAGGTCTTCAGCAGTTCAGTTTAGACGAGCACATCTTCTGAACTGATTCACTCATGAATTGTTCACGAGCGCATGAGCAGAACTGAACTGAACAGCTAGTCGTTGTCAATTGGATGGCTAACAGTTACCGGATGTTAAAGTCAATCATTTCATCCCTTCAAACAATAAAATATCATATTTAAATGTTTTTCATGCCTTGAATGTAACTCGACACCCTCGCCTCATTTAGTATACGTGTTTTTATGCTAATGAGCCCCGCCTCCACTCACTCACTCAGAGATCCACTGGTTGTCGATCACACGTTGATCTGATTGGTTACAAGGTGGTTTGTGACGTCAGAAACACCAGCGATTTCAAAGCGTGTTTTTGAGACTGTCTTTGGTTCACTGCAGTTTTAAGGAGGAAATACTCAGCGATGCTGTCCACTTATCAACTTATCAACACCACATACACACATAAACAACATTAGACGCTAGATAAAAATGGCAATGGTTAAACATGGTTAAGTTGTTCATAAAGTGTATCGTACGTCGGTGTGTGTGCAGGTTCGGGCCGGGTCTGGTCATCTACTGGTACGGGTTTTTATCGGATCTGGACTGCCAGCGCGAGCGAGGGATCCTGCTGAAGGACGGCTTCCCCTCAGACATCGTGACCCTGTGTCGCGGGCCGACCCCGTGTGGAGCCGGAAGCCCATTCAGCTTTCCTGCGGAGCGAGAGAGCGGCCGAACATCTGCCCTGAACTCCCGGTGAACTCCAGCGACGGGTGTGGAGCTGCAGGTAACGCCGGGCGGCTCCACGTTCACTCAGTGTGTGTGTGTGTGTGTGTGTGTTCTGCTGTAATAAAGTTGAGTTCTTCATATATTGTGTTTATCTACTGAGGCTTGGAGTGACGCTCTCCAAAACTTCCTCTTCTGTCGAGAGCCGTGGAGAGATAAGAGATATAGGAGATTCCTGTCTCCATTAACCCTGTGCAGCCTGACACACCACACACAGTCACACACACAGTCACACACACACAATCACACACATCTGTTTGGTTTATAATGGAACAGTTTATTAATTCAGTTCAACTCACATTTATTTGTGTGGCGCTTTTTACAACACACGTGAAAGTGCACGAGTCCACATTACAGTTTACTCTCATCTGTTATCAGAAGTTATGCATTTCAGAAATGTACTTTAGTTAGCTAAAAATGTATTAATTTATACAATTTAATAATAAAAGGCGGAAACAATGAGCTCACTGAAGTAATGATTTCAATATTAAACTGTTTATAAAAAAGTTTATCGATGATAAAAGTGAGAATATCGCCAGTTTTATTTCAGAGCCCCAAACTGAGACCCGATACACAGTTTGCTGCAGATGCTGATATTAAAATGGACACAAAGATGAAATGATGATGCTTTTAATGTAAATCAACAAGATCTTTCTAATATTATAGCAGATACTGACATTAAATACATATAAGTATCAATATCTGTCAATAACGTCTCAGCAAGCTGATATCTAAATGCTTAGTTTAATGATCAAAGTTCTAGTTTTAAATCATATAATGCAATGATGATTGAGAGATGAACTAATAAATCTGATGATCATATTTGATGCTCATGATTTGATAATCAAGTAAAGTGAAATATTACTAACAATATCAAAGTTCTTCCTGCGTTTGGAGGACGTTTGTACAATACACTGAAAGACTTTTACTAGATAAACATGAAGATGTGTGTGAATGAGTGTTCAGCTTGTGTTCGCCACAGAAGAACACAACAACAATCACAAATCTGACCTTGTTTTCACACTAGTGCGAGTTTACATGAGAATTGTGAGCTATAAAGTCTCATTTATGAGATGAGAAGTGGCGATTCTGTTTCAGATGTGGGATTGTGTGTTGGAAACGAGCGTCCGTAGTTTACCCTAAACTCTGATGCTTCAAAACGTTTATTACGAGATATGAATGAAGCACTTAATCTGAGATCACTCTATATGATGAACACATTTATTTGGGCTGTTATTCAAATATGAACATTAACACACACACACACACTAGTGGAGGGCGTGAGTATTGGCCATCAGTGTTGAGGAGTGTGTGCTGGACTCGGGTCTGGTGTTCAGTGGATACACAGCTGTTTCTGCTCAGTTATTAACATATTCATCTGTCAGCACAGCAGCAGGTGTGTTATTATGAGCGGCACACACACACACACACACACACACGCTGAAACTCACTGAAGGACGCTAGTATTAGCAGTGTGTGTTATTACATGATGTTCTCTAGATGATGACTCTTCTCTGACGTCAGTGTGAGTCCAAGAGCGCCATTCCCTACAGTGGACACACACACACACACACTGAGTTTAATGAGTGACAAACGGCTAAAACATACAGTGAAACACTCGAATATGATGAACCTTCATGATCATCAGTGTTGAGAACAGTTCTTGTTTTTGAGGAGTCCGTCATGCATTTTATTTCTCAGGATTCATAGAACAGAAAGTTCAGAAGAACAGCATTTATGTGAAATATAATCTTGTGTAACATTATATATGTCTTTAACTGTCACTTTTGATCTGTTGAATATGTCCATGATGGATAAACCTATTGATTTCTGTCAAATAAAAAATCTTACTGTCCACAAATGCTCTGTGTGAGTTATATTTAGCGTTATATTATATATTAGTATTATATTACTAATATATTATTAGTTTATATTAGTGACATCCCTTATTCTGAATGTTTGCGAACCGCAGTTTTGCAGTGATTTTGTCACTCTTCACTGTGTGTGTGTGTGTGTGTGTGAGAGAGAGAGTGAGACATGGCACTGAAATTCACTCACACACACATGCTAACACTAACTCTCTCTCTCACACACACACACACACACACACACACTCGCTCTCACACACTTACTTTCACACACTCACACTAACTCTCATTTAGACACATCACTCTCTGTCTCTCATACACACTCGCACACTCACTACCACACACACACACACATTTAAAATGGGAACTGGTAAATTAGGACACACACTGGTGTTTTATATAAATCCGAAACTAAAAACACATTTGCATACAGTATCTGTCATAAAGGTTGTTGTAATATCTCTGTTTAGTAGCATTATTATTATTATTGCTGTTATATGAAGGTGCATATCACGTTTTAAATGTTGTTATTAGTTAAAATAAATTAAATGAGTCTCAAAAATCCAAATCTCTTAAATGTTTTCATATGTGAAACACACACATTCACCGACAGTAATTGTGTCATATGAGTGAAGCGAAATATATTAATGACATTTACAGTGATAATAAGAAAACCATAAAGACGATAAAGAAATATGTCACTAATATGGCAGTAATATTCAGATGTTTCTGTTCTTTATAGATCCTGATCTTCATCAGACACGGGTCATCCTCATGCAGCAGATTCACTGAGGGAGTGTGTGTGTGTGTGTGTGTGTGTGTGTGTGATGCTTTACTGAGCATGATCTCGAGCGCGCGACTCATTTAGAAAAATACAGGATGAGATTGAGAAATATTTCGTCACGCCCTTATTTATTAATTTATGTCTCATCCTGTAGGGGTCGCTGTGATGTTGAGCTCCGGGGTTTGAACACACACACACACATTTATACCATAGATTTATACGCAACACACTTACACTGATTTTCTCTCTCACACACACACACACACAAATAAATACATTCATATACTACAATATTTGCTACTGCCAATTTTATTTTCTGATGGGACTGTAATTTAATAAAATTATAATCTTTGTTCCGTTTGATCTGCATTTGTGCTCCTCCGTCTTTAATGATTCATTATTATATCATTTTAAGGCAGAAATTCTAAGCCCTCAGACATGTGCGGCCATTTTCTGTTTTTTTATTATTAGGCTAATATTAGTATTATAAGGCTATTATTAATGCCATACAATAATAGTATGCTGAGATGCAATGAGAAATATTAATGTTTTGTTGCTGATTCTTCATCATGAACATCATCATCCTCACACACGCAGAAATCATGAGACTTTATCCTGAGTTACTCGAGAATTATAATTAGTAATTATAATAAATTTAATAAATCACAGATTGTGTTTCTTCATTATGTTAGAATAAGTATAGCCTAAAAAAACAACAACGATAATTTAAATCATATTTGGAAATACAATAACTAGATACATAAAATACAGTAAATATTTAAAACCACTTTAACGATATACTCAAATTAATAACAATATTAATAATAAGAAGCACGTAACATTTGTTCCATTGCTTATGCTGATACTGTAGGCATGTATATCACACAGGCTCGTCATATTATGCGTTTAAATCTTCCTCATCGTCGGTGTGAATATATATATAATATATATATATAGGCCTAAATCTATTTCTGTGCCGATGGCGTGTTTTTTTAAGAAATCTTCAGTTATTAAATTATTAGAGATGTTTCTCTCGGTGGAGTGTGAAATAATGCTGTAGTTTTTACAGATCGTGCTGTTTTACTCCGAACACCGTTTTTACACGAAAAACAGAAAGAAATGAGAGGGAGGAGAGAGAGAGAGAGAGAGAGAGAGAGAGAGAGAGAGAGAGAGAGAGAGAGAGAGAGTCGCATTATTGATCAGTGACTGTGAGCTAATGTCATTATCCTCATCAATAGAGAATCACTGTGATGCTGACAGTGATTAATGATCAGGGGCCTCTGCGCGTGACCCCGGGGCCCGGCAAACACACACACACAAACACACACAGCAGATGCCGAATAGGGTCTCTGCATTAATGCCGATGCGTGTAGAAAACAAGAGTTCATCTTCATCTTCATCTTCATCAGTGGGATCGTGAAAAAACACGCGCGTGCAAAATCGTGCATCCGAATTTCCTTGCTCGTTTTCTCCTTGTTTTGTGAAGAGTGTGTGTGTGTGTGTGTGTGTGTGTGTGTGTACTTTTGTGTTCTCACATCCCGTGATCTGACATGAGGAAGATGGTGGTGATGATGATGATGAAGGCTGGATCATCCATCATTCCTGTCACAGGCTCAATTCAGTCCGCCTCCTGTCCTCTATTAATATTAAAATCAGCTCACAATGATCCGCGTTCCTTTCACTTTCTTTCTTTCTTTCTTTCTTTCTTTCTTTCTTTCTTTCTTTCTTTCTTTCTTTCTTTCTTTCTTTCTTTCTTTCTTATATCATTATTTCTCATATTATACAATTTCAAATTAAATCTTTCGCACATCTATTTTTTTCTCGAATGCTTATTAATTTATCCATTAAAATGAGACTTGGCCGTTTGTGAATCTGTGCGAATTAAGCGCATAAAGAATGACTCGTGTATAAAAGGTCGATAATAAATCGCATATCACGCGCAGCGCAAAACGCAAATCTTTATTTTAAAGACTGTATATTATTTATCCATAGTTTATTTTATTAATAGAAATGAAGCTGTTTATTTCGTGTGGAGAAACAGCACGATCTATATTTTAACGACTGGATATTTAGTTATAGACACATTTTCAATGCTATTATTTAGTAAATAATTATTACCGTTGATGTAGGCTGTATTTTAATTATTAATAATAATAATAATAATGCAAATGGGCTGTGTATATAATTAAACACCTCGTGCTTTGGGAGAAATACAGTTTTATGTTATAGCCTATGCATCGAGCTTTAAAACGAGACATTCCGTGCAAACGAACCCTTCAGTAAATATCCAGAAAATCAAAACATTAAAATAATGAGGAAAGATCCACTTTCACATGACCAAGCCCTTGAAACATTTACTTATGAACGTATTTTATTTTTTTGAAATGCTTTAATGTGTTTAGCGCATTTAATGTCTTGTTTTAATTGCGCACGTGCGCGTCGTCATCAGTACTATGTCCATTAATGCGTTTATTAATGGACATATTGGTGGTTTTCTGAAGTAGGCTAATGTCGTGTGAATGCCGAGCTGAGCCAGCAGGAGGCGCCGCGGAGACTCTCATCACTCCGCTTTAACAACAACACTGCTCGGCACTCGACGACCTCTGCAATCAGATTAAATACATACGGGGTTTATATCATTTGCAACACACTGCACAGCACACAAGAATCTACCAAAATCAAAAATGAAATATTTATTACAGCATTTGTGACTGAACACCTTTGAAACATTACGCCACAGTCCTCATACAAGTATTGAATGTTTTTGGGAGACAGTATTCATCTTCTATGGAGCACGTGCTGAGAGAGGAAGGGGTTCATGGACATACAATATCAATGCCACAGCAGATCTGAAACTAGCAAAAACATTCGTCTTCAATTGAGGTAAACACATAGAATATCTAACATGAAACAATTAATAGACTGAACTCTGTACGAAGTTTCTTACAATATTCTCTCAGCTTCTCTCCGAGCTTTGAGTTCATAATTTAAGTTCTTTTTTTTTTTCATCCTTTAAAAGTTTTTCACATCGCGATCGCTTCTCTTCTGTATGTGCCAAAGAATCCAGAGAACCGCGTGTCGGTATCGTCCATATATGGCAGACTATATACACACGTGGTATATATATATATATTGATCCCCAGGCTGAAACTGCTGTAGGATGTTGTTTATTCTCCAGGAAACACGTCCTTCATAAGGCTCTTACTCTGAGAGTCCATGATACAAAATTAATAATATTAATAATAATAATAATATTAATAATAAAATAAAAACGTATAAAAGCAACACAATCCAGTGCTTAGGCAATTCAAACGAAGAACTTCACCTACAGGGCAACATTCATTCATGGACCAAAGAAGGGGGAAATGCATGAGGAAAGAAAGGATGAGGGAGAAGAGAAGAGAAGAAGAGAGCGGCTTCAGTCGGCAGAAACGGATGGAGGAGGAATGATCCCCGTTCTCCGGGTATTCCTGCGTTCGGAGCTCCTCTGCTTCGGGATCAGCACACACAGTGTGAACAACAGGCTTTACTCTAGGACTAGATCAGGGAACATGACGCGAGTGATACAAATGTACAAGATTTAATTTAGTTTCTATGCTTATACTACAGTAGTTTGAACTCTTGGAGTCTCTTTTGTCTTTTTTTTTTTCTTTTTCTTCTTTATCATCTGTGTGTGTGTGTGTGTGTGTGTGTATTAACAAGTTCAAACATCCTCGGTTGATTCGAACAGACACTCAAGACTTTACAAAGTGTTTTCGTCGTCAGCTCTTGGTCCTCCAGCAACGGAAGTAACAAAATTCACAAGATTAAAAAACGATCACAGCTCGACTGGAATTCCAGGTGAAGCTTCTTATTCACCGCTTTTGTCTTTTCCTTCACAAATCTTTCGAGGGGATTTTGTCCGGGTCACGATCCGGGATGGTGTTGGTCGGGTCCGGGAGAGTCGTGGTCAGTTCTGGTGTCTGTGCATCAGCATGGCCACACGGGTCGAGGAGGACCAGGGGTTCGGTGGGTTTGGTTGGTTTGGTGGATTCGGTGGGCCGATGGGTTCGGTGGGTTTAGTGGGTTGATGGGTTTCTATCAATCCATGACTCTGCGAATCCGGTTGGTTGATGGTTTCGGCGGGTTTGGTGGATCTGGTGGGTTTTTTTTTTTGGATTCGGTGGGTCGATGGGTTTGGTAGTTTTGGTTTATCCGGTGGGTTTGGTTGATCCGGTGGTTTGGGTT